CAAAAAATTAATCTGAACAACAACAATTAATGTTACTTTTTTTGCGCCTGTTTGACAACTGTAAACACGCAAGTGTACAGAAAGTAAAAAAAAAATATAATGGACAATTGCCACAACTGTCTATGTTAAACAGAAAACTGCTAGGTTAAAAAAAACAAAATCTTAAAAAACCGAACGAAAGTTTATATATACATCATCTTTCCTTCAAACTTTCGTACCATTAAGTATTCATCTAGCAAAGAAAGATACCTTCTTAAAATTAACGGAACTGAGAACAATCAAATTCAGCAGAAATGCGGAGAAGAAGTATAAAACAGAATAGGAACTAACGAAATCCGAAAGCAAAAAAAATGCACCATATCGATAATTCCGTATAAAAAATTCACTGAATTCACCGAATATAACGCTTGAAATTGGCAGGCTGCCAAAGAAAGTTTTTAAAAATTTATTCACATCTCTCCTTATGTGTTCATATGGCTTTGCATTAGCTGCAATGTCTGCTGATCAAGTATATGAAGCCAGAAGTTAGCAAAATTCCTTTTAGCCGCTTCGCATACGCTCAACATTTAGTGAGAAAGTAAGTGGAAGTTATATGGAAATCACTTCGTGTCAACAAAAATTACTGCTTTCATTTGACGGCTGAAACTGAACAGTGAAGGGAGCACCTATGCTTATAAATTTAGGGAGCTGCGGTGTAGAAATATCACAGTCCCTATAAATTTGAACGCATTTATAGGAGACAACGAAACGCTTAGAAGCAAGTGAAATTTATTGTCATTTATAATTTGATCAGCCATATTTTTAAATCCCTGTATTTTTAAAAGCGACCTGTGGATAAGGCCGAACGACCAAACTTTAAAACCAAGCGACACTAACCCAAACACAAACACATATATGGAAATCAAAAGTACTTGAGTTATTGGAACTTAAATTCCGACAAAATTTTAGCATAACTAAGCACAGTCTCCAACTCTATCACGTTATCGGTCAGTTACTGCCCCTTCCAAAAGCTTTGTGGAGATTAAAGAAATGAACT